TTTTTTTTTTTTTTTTTTTTTTATCATTTAGTTTTCATTTTCGGCACTTTCGAAATACGTGGTTGCAGGTAACAAAAGATCCGCTTCCGGTACCGATTAGACAGCGATAAAGCTGAGAAGGTACAGAAAGAAACCAGTTTTTAAGGAATGTCATTAAAGAAAATTTTAACGGTGGCCCACCAACACGATATCAAAAATAATTTATGTTGTTCAAATATAAACTTTATTGAAATGTATATATTTTACAATCTGCGTTCCAAATAATTTAAACTTTTTGGGGAAACGCGGTTAATTTCTTTCCGTTTTCTTATAACAATTTTCAACCGACGCGACGAATATTATATTCATTTAACGAAAACGTTGATACGAGTCGAGGTCTTTATAACAGTTGTTGCAAATCAATATTTAACACACAACCGACACGCAAGGCCTTTTCAAGATAAAAAAAGGTGTAAAACAATAAAATGAAAACCCTGTGATTAAAAACAGTGGATACTAACTAATTATCTATGTTATTCATTTTGATACAATTCGAATTTCAAATGTTGATTAATAAAAAAGATTTAATTATTTATCGAACTTTGATTCTCGATAAAATTCTACATGTGTATCGTACCTGGAAATGTTGACATGAATTGCTTCGTAATGTACCCTTTAATATGCACACGAGTAAACAATGATTGCGTAAACTATTGACAAGTAGGAAAAATGTTGTATCTAATCGTATAACCTCGTAGTAGAAAATTTATTGATCGAATATAAAATAACTCCAGGCACTCGATGTGAAATTTCCCTTTTACGAATATTCATAATTTTTTCTTCCATTCGATTTGATTTTTTTTTTTTTTTTTTTCCTATCAATAGTATTATTTATCCTTAATGAAAAATTTATTTTTTTGAATTATCTTTACAGGTAACAAAAAAAAATAATGAATGTTTTATCTTTATTTACAAAATTCGCATGGCGAAAAGTGGAATTTATTGTTACCTTGGTCGTTATCATGTTATTATCTATCTATAAACGTGTAAAAAGGAATTCACGAAAGAAAATTAAATATCCTTGTAATACGTTTCGTCTAATCGATTCGGCCATTAAGATTAAGAGGACATATTATTGATCACTTCCAAACTCGATAAATACTATTTGCACGAGGAGACGATCAATTTTAAGTTTGGCCTTTAAATAATCACAGAGAAAATTAATATTTAATTTCCCATTGATAAGCTTAATACATCGAAATAAGGACGCGTCCTTCGTTAAATGCATGCATTTTTTTTTCCTCGATAACGTTTATTAGATTCAATATGATTGCAAAATGTAGAAACAAAAAAAAAATAAAAATAAAATAAAGATAATTCAGGAATAACGTGAAAATATGGGATACCCGCATCCTTATATCGTTTGATATCATAACACGGTTAACAGAATAAATAATCTTATTCCTATCTATAAATTAATTTTAAAGAAACATTATTCAATTACAATGAAAAAGAAAACACTAATATTTCAAACACTCTTATCATCAAACTTTTTTACCCTAATAAAAATCATTATGGAATCACGTTTTAGAAACACGATACTGAATCCTTATCGCTTTCAGAAAATTTAATATATATACGAAGAACGGAAGATGGTCTAATCGATTAGAAAGATTAATACAATTTTGATCGTGATAAATGCATAAGACGATCCTTGAAAAAAGTGTGGTAAATTGGAAAATACGGGCGATCGTAACAGGGTTGACGATTGAAGTTCCAAATGCATGATGAGGGAAATACCGTTGGCCATCCTCCGACGAAGGCTTTCGACAATGATCCTTGATCAGATAAGTATACCGATTTCCCTGTATTTCCAATGATCGTTCCACGATTCGCGAACGCATGCCCTTTAATAAGAAGAAAAAAGAGGGGGAGGGGGAAAAAAGGAAAGAAAGGGAAAAACGGAAACGAGAAATCACCGAACAATACCCGGAGCAGATAACAGCACGAAGCGCTTGACGAACACGTAGGTGGGGAACACGAGACACACGATGTGGAATAAATAGTGGCCTGAAATCGAGCGGAATTCAGTCGTGCTGCTGTTGTAACATCGTCGTTGACGTTGTTTATTCACGAAGACCACTGGCGAGTGGATCTCGTGAAAATCGTTTAATCTTATCTGGCGGTATAGGATAAATCGATAAGTAAGCGGCAGCAGGGTGATTCGCACGCACGCCGAGATATTACGCTTCCTCGAACACGCAATAACGCGATCATGGGTGCGACGTCTCGGCCTCTCGTGATCACGGAAGAGATGATAATTGGAGTGTTGCTAATGCTAGCCCCTGTACTTCGGATAAACGCTTTATTACTCGGGTACATACAACACACACTACTTAATAGTTGAGATGCCTTGCGAACAATCAAATTCGTCCGTTCCCTTTGTATTTAATTTAAAGAAGAAACGTAAAAAACGTTTGAATAAAGAATAAATTGGAGACACGTGTCTTCAAAGAGGCACGGTTGGGCATAGGCACGTTTCTTTAAACGGAGAGAGAAAGAGAGAGAGG